AAAAAAAAAAAAAAAAAAAAAAAAAAAAAAAAAAAAAAAAAAAAAAAAAAAAAAAAAAAAAAAAAAAAAAAAAAAAAAAAAAAAAAAAAAAAAAAAAAAAAAAAAAAAAAAAAAAAAAAAAAAAAAAAAAAAAAAAAAAAAAAAAAAACTGGACAGAGTGCATTTTTGAGCCCCATCGAAACAGCAATGTATACAAAAAACACACAAAAAAGAGAATGTAAGTGCGACACATGTTTTTTTTTTATTCAGTACTCCTATCTTACGGTTAAGATTCTTGAGCAATCTTATCGATTGATGGACGGAATACATATTGCTGAGGGGGTGAGTGGTGGGGGTATAGAAACGCTGTTAGAATATGTCAGTATGTTCATCATACATAATCGTCGAGGAATCGTAAAAACTAACGCATAATACAATTCGATTGGGGATGACAAATACTGATCAAACGCATTCGGGACAAGATGAATACCGTTCCTTTTTCTGGGAGGGGGCTTGTGGTGAATGGGGGACTCCCCTTATACACTAACACAACGATGTGACTCGGTCCTACGATACTGGAAACCGATTTTTTTTTTTTTTAAATGAATTTTCGCAATAACAAAGAGCAAACTATCGCCTGCTTTCACTCTATATAATCTAAGAAACAAGGTGTGATTTATAAAATTAATTTTGTTGCATTTACTTAGAATTAAATTATCGACTACAATGTTCCTTACGTCTAACTACTAAAACACGTCGTGATCTTCTTTCTAAAATGTAATCGAGGCTCTTCGACTACGATTTCACTTCTATGCTTTAAAGGTAATATCAATTCGCCGTTGGTCCCGAGAGCATTCTTGAGGTGCATGCGAAAATATACGTTAAAACAATTTCTTATATCGTGTAAATGTAATGTAAATATTCGAAAGTACAATAGAACCTCGATAACTGCAAGTAACGAGGCTAAAAGTTCGTACAAGTATCGAGGCTCGTGCAATTACAAAATACTATCCGGATACACGACACAATCGCTAATTCTTATATAGTAATTATCCTTATTATTTTGGGCTGTTTTTATAATACTAAAATATGTATGTATTTTTTAATAATACATTGCAACAACCGAGGTACCCACGCAACTGTACGGTTGCATCTATCGAGGTTCTACTGTACACAGGCAACAACGCGCATAATTTTCCCGCTTTTTCACCAGTTCATCCAGAATTTAAAATTTGGTCCACCATTCAGTTCAAGCAGGCTCGGTCTAGCCAGGTTTCTCTTTTGGGTCCGCTGGGCACCTGTGGTCGCTGAAAAGGAGGACGCGAAATCGACCCGTCGCAAACCTGATCTGACATTGACGAATCAGAATCACGCGGTCAAAAGAACATCCGTTTTCACCACACATACAATTGCTATCCATATATAATATATACACACAAGATTGGCGGACTCCTCTATCGAACCGTTCTTTCGGAACTCCCGATCCTTATCACAAATTCAGACACAATTCCGATAAAACTTAATGGCAAGTTGCTACGAAGCGCTTCCACATAGTGGCAATTGGGGATCTTATATCTTACGGATACGCCCGTGTTAACCCTTCGCAGCACGAGTGCTTAGTTTTAAGCGATCATCCCCATTTGCTTGGTGACCAGCACTTACGCTACTTCCATTCTATTCTACCCTTCTTATGTTTTTATCCATACATTTGCTTGGTGGTGACCAGCACTTAAAGAGTTCATTCAAGCACAGTGGTTAGTATCAGTAACCACTTTCATGTATCCTACCTTTCCTGTGCATGAAAGGTTTCGAAACTTAAATAGAGATTTGAAACTTGCACCGCAAGAAATTCATTCGAGCACAGTGGTTAGCGTCAGTAACCGCTTGCCATGACAGTTTTTAATCTACACCTTTGTTCGATGACCACTCCTTGCACTTTTATTTTATTTTACCCTGGTTATACGCAAAAGGCCCCCAAAACATAACCGAGAACTTCAACCTCGCACCGCAAAGAGTTAACGAATACTCGAATCGTTTCTTTCGTTCAGTCTGGTACGATTCTATTCGAACGTCAAAAAGAAAACGGATTCTCTTAATGTTCTGGTATAGTGTCGTTGCTTTACGACTGTTTCGTTTAACCTCGAACGACAATTCGATTGGGCTGCGTTGGGCATACAGATGATTTACGGCATCGGGACGCGCTTCCATCACTGCGAAGGCAAGCAATTCGTTTCCAACCAGAGTTGTACAGAGTGATTACACGGTGGTTACTTTAGGAATTACAAGAATTGTCGGATTAAATTAAAAACCGCGAATAATCGCATCGCTAATCGTAATTACATTTTGCCCAACGTCGCGTTCCCAACATGCACCACGCGGTATCGCCGTTTCAACAGACGACCTCGCGCCCACATGCATACTTTCCACGCGCGTCGTCGATTGTTCTCGATGCCCGCGAGGACGAGGCACCGAGAGAGTCCAACGTAACGAACAAATAGAAATAAACGGAGACGATCGAGCGCAGAATTTACAAACAGAATCATCCGTACAATTCGACCAACGAAGGGTTTGAGAAAGATTTGTGAGGCGCGTTTAGGTACTAAACAGTGATCGGTTGCGTGAACGTTGCGCGGAAAGCCGAGGGACACGATGCGCGGCAGCGCACCCCTAAGGAATAAAGTATAATTTTTCACGCGTTTCGGCGACACGTCAACAGCCGTGCGCAAACAACGATTGGACGCGTCTTCCGCATGCTGATCGTATCACTGATCAAATTTCTGCTCTATATATTCTTCGACACACGACGTGATCGTCCTTACGCTTCCTGTTAGTATAACGCTTCGTAGCGCGGTCTTTCCAGGCAAGAGATCTCGTTTCGTCGCGTGGTCGTTGCCGTAGAAAGTTACCCGCGCGTACGTTATAGTCCAAGCAATAAGGAAGAATAAAAGAGTAGAGTCGATCGAGCCCAGAACACCAATGAGATTCCTCGTCGGCGCCACGAGTGCTTCTTCAGAGGTGGGTGATTATGATATCGTCGTCGATGTCGTCCTTCTCGTCGTCCGTCTCATCCACCTGGTTTGCCTCCGCCTGTGCCGCCTTTGGATCCTCCGCGATGGCCTTGAGCCTCTTCTGCTTGCGCCTGTGCAACAGCTCGACTATTATGTATCCAATGCTGCCGATGATCAACACTGTCAGCATCACGAACAGCTTCATACGGGCGCACAGATGGGTGCTGTACGCGTAAGCTATCACGAAACCGGCGCTCTCCCATAATCTGTAGTTCGAGAATGCGGCCTCCTTGTTGCGCCTGAACAGGGTACCGTACAAACCTGAAAACGGAACGAGAATTAACACGTGTGATGCATCGCAATGTGCCGGTAAAGCTTGACCTATATACATTTCTACAAACTTCTTTCTAATGTCACACGGTTACTAACAATTCAACAAACAGTCTCATTCTTATTTGACTCGTTACGTTATGGAGTTCTTATTAAGGGTGTGCGGAATTCCAGAAAATATTCGGGATTCCCGTGAATACACGAGATCCCGCAAAAATCCGGGATTCCCGAGAATGTACGGGATCTCGAAATTCTCGGGAATCTCGAATGGTTTCGGGATCCCGGATGTATTCGGCATTTTGAAATTCTCGGGATTCCATCCCGACCGGGATCCCGCGCACCCCTAGTTCTTACACCTTCTTCTAAGCCTTTAAATACTCGAAACGAAATTGAAATTTAACACGTTCGACAAGCAAATTGTAAATACTTTATACACGTGACCACAGAAAATATACAACAAGTTAGTCGCAAGAGCGTACCATTGACTTGCGTCTGCCATACCGCATCCCCGACGCCCCAGAGGCCAGAGACGGTGTAGAAGACGTAAGGGTTCGCGGGGTGCGGTTTCCAGTGGAGTAGCACGACGACAAGACTAGCGTGTACGATGGCGCCCAGCGCCATCAGCGGTTGCCTGCCGACGAATTTCATCAGAGATCCGAAGAGCAGCGAGCAGGCGGCGTTCACCACTCCGAAGCAGATCATTACGTAGCCGACTCTGTGCACGCCTAACGCACAGGAAATGTAAGCCTGGAAAGAAAAGAAACGATAGTACACGCTAAATGTAACGACCTTCTCGACGATGTTCTCCTTAGGATATAAGCACTCCATTTCAAGCGAAGGCCTGGGAGTATCCTCTCGCGATCTCGGTAAACATAATTCCCATCGTTTCGAGCAT